TTAACGTTCATATTTTCCACGCCCGAATTGATTGACCTTGAACTCTCCTTGAATAACGCGCGGAACTGCGTGCAAGCGTCGGCCATGATGAATATCGCCGACGATGGAGCGACTCCTCTAACAAAATGTTCACCTATGCCGTAGTATCGTTTTTGAAGTGGGGAGCTTAAAAAACCGCAAATTTCTTACGCAGATTGTGAAGTTATGAGTGCATTTCAGACTTTGCCGATGCGCTCATCGTGATTTTTGAGGCATTATCTATAAGAAACAACTCATATTTTTGCTCTAGCAAAAGTTTGCAACAGGCCCATTGCTCTGGATTCGGCAAGAAGAGAATCGGTATTTACCAGCAAACTCCGAACTCCTAACTTGCCATCTTCTCCTTGGGGATTGTACTTTCGGGTGGCGGCTCTGAAGTTCTTCGGTTTACAGGAATCGGGTATCGTCCTAGCACGGGTTCTAATTTGATATGTAGTATAGCTTCCTGTTCCCGCAAAATTTTGAATTTCTGCCCATGAAGGCGATCGCAAAACATCCGGGAAACCCCTATCCTAGTGTTATACCTCCGTCTCCGAGCCGGTCTCTTTAACTTTCATTGGTGTCATTCACGCCGTAGCATGTCAGCATTATTGTTGCTGTGGTCGGAGAAATATGGACCAACGATAGCTAAAATATAGCCGTCGGGCGCTACCAACACTGAGAAAAAACTATGGTTTATTAACCTATTAGAGGTAAATATGGAACACCTATAATAGTCGTAAATAAACTAATGATTCTCGGTCTGTGAACCATACTAAGGTCTCTGTACCTAATTAAGGTACAGAGACCATAACTAAGGTATATGTGCTATTATTATATGTAGAGGTACTACTATTAGTGGTGTTCCATATTTACCTCTAATAGGTTTATAAGCCATAGTTTTTTCTCAGTGAAGAGCATGGTTTTCACTTAATGCGTGCTTGTGAAGGGAAAACATTTGTCGCAGCTCTCTAAAGTTACTTCAACACAGATAAAAATGCGTTTCATCAACAATAAGAATCGCCTGTTTTTCATTCAGCTTTCCGATTGCCACAGTACCTTTTAATACGTACATAATAAATACAACAAATACATTACTTACATAAAAATACTTCTAAATACCAATGGACACAACATAATGGGCCCGTTGCATGCAAGATATCGACGCTTCGCTGAGAAGAGGGCGTAACTTCACTTCTTCAACTTTCCTTAGTGTCATTCGCGCCGTAGCATTTCAGCATTATTGTTGCTGTGATCGGAGAAATATGGACCAACGATAGCTAAAATATAGCCGTCGGGCGCTACCAAGAGCATGGTTTTCACTTAATGCGTGCTTGTGAAGGGAGAACATTTGTCGCAGCTCTCTAAAGTTACTTCAACACAGATAAAAATGCGTTTCATCAACAATAAGAATCACCTGTTTTTCATTCAGCTTTCCGATTGCCACGGTACCTTTTAATACGTACATAATAAATACAACAAATACATTACTTACATAAAAATACTTCTAAATACCAATGGACACAACATAATGGGCCCGTTGCATGCAAGATATCGACGCTTCGCTGAGAAGAGGGCGTAACTTCACTTCTTCAACTTTCCTTAGTGTCATTCGCGCCGTAGCATTTCAGCATTATTGTTGCTGTGATCGGAGATGTATGGACCAACGATGGCTAAAATATCGCCGTCGGCAACCAAGAGCATGTTTTTTACCAGATGAGCATGCTTGTGAAGGGCTAACGTTTGACGCAGCTCTTTAAAGTTACCACACTTACCCAGATAAGGGTGCGTCTCATCAATAATAAGAATCACCTGTTTTTCAGTCAGCTTTCCGATTACAGCGGTACCCCTGAATATGTATATAATATATACAAAAAATAAATTAATTCAATAACTATACCTCCAAATAAATACTAGCTGAGCGTGCTTGTGAAGGGAAAACGTATGTCGCAGCTTTCTATAAAGTTACAATATTTACCCAGGTAAGAGTGCGCTTCATCAATAATAAGAATCGCCTGTTTTTCATTCAGCTTTCCGATTACTGCGGTACCTCCGAATACGTATTTATAAAATGAAACAAATAAATTACTTAAATAAAAATACCTCTAAATACATACAATGGACACAACATAATGGGCCCGCGGCATGGTAGATATCGTCGCTTGGCTGACCAGAGGGTGTAACTGTTTTTCATTCAGCTTTCTGATTACTGCGGTACCTCCGAATAAGTATATAATATATAATAAATACAACAAATGAATAAAAATACTTCTTAATGCATACAATGGAGACAACATATTGGACCCGCAACATGCAAGATATCGACGCTTCACTGTTAAGAGGGTGTAACTACACTTGGAGCCGAGCCCGGGAAAGAATTGTTTTTTATGGACGATTTAGTTCGTCGTCAAGTGTACTTACGTCCTTGTGTCAGGAGGGCCACAAAGTGAGTAGACTTTCATATGTGGAAGAATCGCACAGAAAAAATCACGATGAGCACAGCAAAGAAGTCTAAAATGCACTCTTGAGCGTTCAATCTATGTAGTTCATAACACGCTGTTTTCAAATTCGCAAGCAGCTCTGGAAAAAAAACACATTGGATCTAGAGTCCAGACTCTTGAAAACATTGACAAAAAAACGGACTCTTGATTCAATCAGATTTAAGCTTAAATCAAAAGGAAATCCGCTCAAATTAAGAGGCTTGGTTCTTAATTTAAGCTTAAATCTGATTGAATCAAGAGTATTTTTTCTTGTCGATGTTTTCAAGAGTCTGGACTCTAGATCCAATGTGTGTTTTTTTTTTTCTTTTTCAGTGAGGCTCTTTTTAGTGACCGGGTATCAAGTTTGCTTGAACAGGTACGCGCACCGTTACACATTTTCATTATGTATGATGTCCATCAATTCACAAGTTTAGTTTATACAGAGCCAAAAAATGTGGAGAAAGCCATCGCGAGAGATTCGACAAATGGACAGGGCCGGATTTAGGGGGTGGCCACATGTGCCGCGGCCCATGGTGGCATATTTTACTATTTTTTAAATGTATGTATAAAAAAACCGGATTCAGTAAAAAATAGCAAACAGGAAAGGGCGACGAAATCCTCTCATTTCCTAAGAGTATAGTTATTTCCAATTTTGTTGTATTTCAGTGATACAAGAGACAGCACCTTTAATTAGTCGAGTTCAGAAATAAATCAAACACGCAATTTTGCCTGGAACGGCATGGAGCAAAGCGCAACGACGAGGACTTGAGATGAAAAGGAAAAGCCCTCGTAGCGGCGGTCGGCATGTAACACATATTAGTGCCTACCAGACTGCATACATACTTCACGCATTGCGTCAAACGCAGTGCGGTTAACAGCGGTCGGCGTGGAACGCACAGCGCCTACAAGATTGTATGAATACTTCACACATTGCGTCAAAGACAGTGCGTTCAGCAGCGGTCGGCGTGAAAAGTATATCGCCTACAAGACTGTAGGAATACTTCACGCATTGCGCCAAAGTTACGTCTGGTAGAATGTAAAATCCCGCTTTCCGATTCCATAGGGAATCACGCCCACTTATACATTATTTCCTGTGCAGCTTTGTAGAGCAAAATCCATCTTTCCCACTCGTCTACAGTTCCGTTTAGAAGTTGTTCAAATGGAGGTTGAATGTTTATTTAGATTTGATTTCATTGCATCTCGCGCTAGACAACCTTGGTTACCAGCAACTGAGAAAAAAACTGTCCGCGTGCGTGGAAAGTTTCAAAAATAATTCAAAAAATCAACCCAAATTGCGCGCTGAAGAGTGTATCTTAGATTTTTTTACTATGCCCATCATGAATGGCTTCGGAGCGGCTTTTCCTGAAGCTACTCCTCCTCTTTAGGCTGTAACCCTTGCGTGCAACAGACCCATTACAAAGGACACAACATTATTCCATGTTGTGTACTTAACGCAACAAATGACACAGCACAAGTAATGTCTGCTATCGTACCGAGCTTGGAGAGCGTTGCGAGGTGATCTGCGTCGAGATGAATTTGGCGTCGCAATTTTGCGATGACGTCATCTCCTCCGCCGAAGCCTCGCCATTGGTGAGATCTGAGCTGGGAATTTTGCCGTTATTCATAGCCTGCAACAGAGACAGAAAAAAAATAATCAGTCTCATCGTCACCGAAATGGCTCATCGGAACGAAAAGTCAGGTAATAAGCTTTCTTATGCCGCAATCAGACGCTGAATTTAGCAGCTGAATGTGGAAGTCAACAGTCATCGCCCAACGGCTGAAATTTAGCAAATTCGAATTATTTTAATCCAGATGTGTATCAAATCTACTCGAAAAGTTCAGACAAATTCAAAATTGGTCCGATGGTTGCTGAGAATCCACATGCCGATGACTTCCACATTCAAGCCACATTCAGCTCCCACATTCAGCGTGTGATTGCGGTGTTACATCAAAATTCAATGGCCATCAGTGGACATCTGGTGCTTTCAGCTGATCGGGTGACGATAAACTGATTCTTATTGTAATTGAACACTGGGGAAAAAAGTCGCTTGGATCTAGAGTCTAAATCTTAAAAACATGGACAAGAAAAAATACTCTTGAATCAATTATACTTTTTGCTTGAATCAAATGGAAATCCGCCTAAATCAAAAGGCTCGGCTCTTCCATTCAAGGAAAAATCTGATTGAATCAAGAATATTTTTCTTGTCAATATTATTAAGAATCTGGACTCTAGATCCAAGGGATCTTTTTTTCCAGGGAATTATGAAGCTTAGACAAGAAAAATATAGAGGGATCCTATCGGTGGAAGCGTGTGGTTGCAATGGACCTAGGAGGTACTCTTTAATTGGTCCATAATTTTCTCCCCTAGACTATAAGAACCACCCAAATTGACCAATAGCATCGCTCTATACTCATTATGTCCTCTTTGTTTATCACTCTGTCTATCAATTTTATCAATCAGCCCTTAGGCGATATCTACCAAAGTTCTCCATCATTTTCTCCCTTAGTCTATGAGAACCACCTAAATTGACCAATAGCATTGCTGTATACTCAATATGTCCTCTTTGTCTATCACTTTGTCTATCAATTTTAGCAATCATCCCTTAGGCGATATCTGCCAAAGTTCTGGAAGAACATTCCCCTCCCCTCACTACCCACGTCACCCAGAGTCGCCGAGATTTCTGTTCGGTCCCAAGCATCTCCTTGGGACTCAGCACACTGTGTCTGTATTCTCTTTGTAAGGGCACTCATTTCAAAGCGACCAGATGAATCAACAATTTATGATATTTCGGCAACGCTGCGTTGAGATGGTTGATAGAGGGTGGGCACTTGTTTCCGTGACCCGCGGCTTTCGGATGCCACGCCCTTTTGTTTTTCGTATTCACCTACCCTTACTCCTTATCCATCCAGTTACTGGAAAAACTCAAAGACGTCACACAAAAACGGATTGCGCAGTCTTTTGAGGTACGTTAAAATTGTGTCCTCCTAACGTCGATACTACCAATTTACTACCAATCGATCAAATCATACCAATCGATACTAGCTTATGGATCTTTCTGTTTACAAGCGGGAAGCTCGAAGCATTTGACAGACACACTGAAAAGCCAAGGAGCTCCATGCATAACGTTGCAAATTTTCCATCAGACATCCATTCTAAAAGTCGAAAGCTAATGAATGATATTTCACGAGCAAATTTGTGATTCTTCCTTTCTTTATGAGAAATATTCTGCCAAAATATTGATACGCGTGTTTTTTTTTTTTTTTAGGTAGCATTTTCGTTACATACAACACGTATTTATTACAAATTACATTACAGTATTATTTACATTTCACAGTATCCCAGTAAGTTTAACGTAGGTTTTTTTTTTGTTCAATTGCTGCCGTTATAGGACACGGGACGGCTAGGGGTAGGGGTGAGGTGAAGTAGCCACCTGAAGTTTTAGACATGACTTAGAAATGAGAACCAACCTATCAGGGCTAAAGAATTGTCATCGCTGTGACGTAGAAATGTACATTTCTTCGCTTGCAGTGGCGTGGCGTGAAATGCGATGTAACGATTGTTATGCCATTTAAACTTATGGTAAAGAATCGATTATTAAGGTGTTCGCTGCGAACACCCTGTCTATCAATCCTTTTCCATAAGTTTAAATGCATAAAAATCGATATATCGCAATTCACACCACGCCACTGTTCGCTTGCTGTCGCTTGCGTCCAACCTCTGTATTTTTGATACGATATTCGCGGAATATATCGATACGATTTTTCGACTCATATTTTAAAAAATATCGATATTCTGAAAATATCGGTGTAATATCCCCAACACTAAGTCTGACATAGCACTGCATCGCGTACGCAATTGATGAGGGTGAACCGAACAACAAAGTAACTCGAAGGTGGGAGCAAGGAAGAAAACTGTTGGAAGAAGAAAATTAAAGGCGGGGGGTGGAGATGAAAGAAATTGAGTGCAAATACGGCGTGTAACTACTGTCATATTTAATGGGCCTCGGCGAGGCAGTGCGGGGGAGGGAAAATTATATGCACATCTCGAGAAAAGAGGGTTGTCAGACATCTCGGATCATCTCCGACTTGCACAGCCCATGCGGTACGTTTTAAGCAAGGCTTCATACCGAAAGGAATTTTATGGAACCGGTTGCTGTCTTGAAGACCCGAAGGCTACGGTTCCGGTCCAGGAGTATATTCCTGCCATTCCGGTTTCAAGGAATTCTCATTTTTAATCTGCCATAAAAAAGTTTCAAAAGCAATGAATGATCTTCTTGTTTGAAATTTAGGCAAGGAAAAATCACAACTTTTACAAGGGGATCCTTGTACTAATAGAATAGGATGAAATATGAACCTGCAATGAAATTGTATTACCTCAACCGTGTATGCACCGGAATTGTATTACCTCAACCGTGCTTTACTCTCTGTACCGATCAAACTTTTGTATCAAAATTTCTCTCTGTGTGGGTGAACTATCCCGTGGGTGATGAATCTGTGGGCGAGTAGTCCTGCACGGAGAAAAAAACTTCGTTCATGGGATCCGAAGTTGAGGTCATATGGATCTCTGAAGTTCTCGGATCACGCATCCGAAAACTTGAGGTCCAGCTGCCGAATTTCGGGTCAGACATCTGAAGTACTTCGGTATGCACCGGAGTACTTCAAATGTTTGATCCGAACCCTTCGGTATAGATCGAAGTTCTTCAGCTGTTTGACCCGAACTTCGGCAGCTGGACCTCAAGTTTTCGGATGCGTGATCCGAAAATTTCAGAGATCCATATGACCGAAGACCCGAAGTTGATTCGGGTCTCATGCACGAAGTTTTTTTGTCCGCGTGGAAATAAAAAACCAAAAACGAAGCAATTTTCAACCATGCACTCTACCATCCCTGCTCTCACTTTGAAAAATCACTCGGGGAACTACGACGACAACATCGGATGCAAGATTAAAACTTATCTGCCTCCCGGCCCGAACCGGCGCTAGGCAGGGTTCATTTCTTCATTCGGAATTTTTCGCGCTTACGGCTGGGTCACCCCTCCCCCCCTCGAAGAAAATAAAGTTGCGCGGTCCGGGATTAGTTTCCTGCCCTCGGACGGCCAGATCCTGAGGAACTGAGGAAGTCGCTCTTTTTTAACTGATTACTTGGCGCGACTTTTAAGTGCACTCGCTTTATTTTCTATTTCTCCGCCCCCGCCGCACAGTGGAGCGAGTCCATTAGAAAAGTCGGACATGAAATTTTTGACTAAAACTGAAAATTTTGATGTTCATTTCGTCACATTTTAGATTTCAAGGGGTGCCTCAGGACGAAAATTTCACGAGAAATCCAATGGAGCCACTTTCAGAACATCAAAGTTTTATATAAACGGAGTTATAAGCTTTTAAAGTTTTCAAATTTTGTCCGACCTCCTTTATTGACTCGATCCATTGTGCGCCATCGGAATCTCTCCTACCTCCGCCTCCGCAACGAGGAGATCGGGAATTGGAGTTTTTGTAATGCGGCTGCAACGACCATCTCGCTCTTTTGACTCAAGTGCTTCCGTTGTTCTGAAAAAAAAAACAAGCTGCTGGTTCCAACACTACTGTGTTGGAGAGCTCGCCTTTGTGAAACTATGAACATCTATTAATGATTATTTTTGACATTGTTTATGTATTATTTGAATCTTTACCCAATTATCAGAGGTTACATGCCGATGCAAAATGTTATGATGTATTTTCATAAGACAAATTTTTCACGTTACAATAAATAAAGAGAGAGAAATGGAATTATCCTCGTGTTATTGTGTTACGTACCAGGGTGTCTACTAGACCGGAATTTCCGGAGAGTCCGGAAATAGTACTGATTTTTTAAGGGTTGTCCGGAAAAAGTGAAAAACTGCGGAAATTCTGCAGGGAGGTCCGGAATTTTTTCATTTTTTCATCATATTTGTCGCAGTTAGAGCGAGAAATTCACATTTTTGAAAGTTTTCGGATTTCGTCAAATGAAGGTACTAAAAAAGAACTGAATTTTTTTGTTGAGGGGGTTACTGAACTTCTTGGGAGTGTACTGAAGAAGTAAAATCGCTTTGAACGTCAACATTTGATCGATAATTCTTGAACATGTCGCAAATTTATCCTTAATAGAATCGGAAGTTTTTCTTAATTTACCACGAGTTTTTGTTCGATATTGTTCGATAGATCATTCGACAAAATCGCAATTTTTGTGCAAATTTATGTGACGACATCGTAATTCTCATTCGATAATATTGAATTATGTCGACGTCGATAAAATTGCAACCCCTGAGAATGGAGAGGAAAACAAGAGGACATAAGTTCCAGTGGCGTGGCGTGAATTGCGATTTATCGATTGTTATGCCATTTAAACCTATGGTAAAGAATCGATTATTAAGGTGTCCGCTACGAACACCCTGTTTATCGATCCTTTTCCATAGATTTAAATGGCCAATGAATCGCTGTATCGCAAAGCACGCCACGCCACTCATCAGTTCGGCCGCTGCTGATGACATAATGGCAACTTCCGGCAGCCATCCAAAAGTGTATAGACAGTCTATAGTTATCTAGGTGTAACCTCTTATAATTTTACTGTTCTCTTTTTTTGTGCTCTCTCTCATTCGATTTTTTGTAATTTTATTGTGGATCTATAAATTTGGTGGCAAAAAAAAGTTCGGCAGGACGCTTCCCTCATGATCCAATGTCTCATATGGACCACATTTTGCAATAAGGAACCACTATTACTGGCTCATTTCATAAACAGCATATATGCCACTGGTTTCCCTATGCAGAAAGGTGCTTTTCTGGAAAGGCCAGAGATAGTGGTTCCTTATTGCAAAATGCAATCCATATAGTAGCACACTGAGAAAAAACTATGGCTTATAAACCTATTAGAGGTAAATATGGAACACCACTAATAGTATAGTACCTCTACATATAATAATAGCACATATACCTTAGTTATGGTACGGGGTACCTTAATTAGGTACAGAGACCTTAGTATGGTTCACAGACCGAGAATCATTAGTTTATTTACGACTATTATATGTGTTCCATATTTACCTCAAATAGGTTTATAAACCATAGTTTTTTCTCAGTGCATACGGTTTGGGTCGATTTAACATAAAACTGTGTCGAGCAACCGAGTCCTTTGGGTTGACTCAGCACCAAAGAACCACAGAGTGACATCAAACACGGAACTTTTTAACTGTGCCGATGATCCTGAACTTGCGTCGATAAGACCGGGGATTGTCGTCGACTCGGTGGGAAACCGGGGAACGGTAAGGAGGGTGGGTGAGAGCGGGACGATTCGAAGGAGGGGAGGAAAGTCAGGGGTGACCGAGTTGACGTTGACGTCCGAGGTGCGTTAAGTGGCGACTGCTCAATAAAAAGCTCCTGTTGAGCGTCGTTCGTCATTGTCACCCGTCAAATCACGTTTCATAAATTTCGCCATCCGCGTCGGAGCTCCCCCCCCCATTCACCACTCTTTGGGTTCAGCGGGACGCCATGGAGAGGTCGCCAGTTAATTTTTCCGTGCTTAGGAAAAACGTCGCATGGACATGCTTTCAGTACATCTCTTCTCTCCTACACTGCGGCACTTTCGGGGTTGTGGATCTTAGCTATCTCATTGAGAAGCGCTGTGAACGGGTCTCTGTTCATTTTTCGTTGTTCAAAACGCCAAAGATATTCACGTAGATGATCGGCCAGATGTCCGGTTTCATGCCTCCTCGCGTGAGGCGGTGCCTGAACGGCATCCACTGCGACTCCATGTGTTAGTATGCACTCCTGATCGTGTAACGAATGTGAGTGTTCCAATATTTGGATTACATTTTGCAATAAGGAACCAATATTTCTTGCCCATTTTAGAAACAACATACGTGCCATTGGTTTTCCTATGCAGATATGTGCTTTCATCGTACAGCCAAAGATAGCGGTTCCTTTTTGCAAAATGCAATCCATTTCATGAACGTATCCATCGTCTTTTAGGAACGCGTCTGCACCACAACAAAAAAGAAATGATAACACTAATGATAGAAGTGAAGAAAGTGAAGAAAATGTACACTGGAAAAAAAAGTAGCTTGTATCTAGAGTCCAAACTTTTGAAAACAATGACAAGAAAAAATACTCTTGATTCAATCGGATTTTTTCTTGAATCAAAAGGAAACCCGCTTAATTTAAGAGGCTTGGTTCTCGATTTAAGCATGAATCCGATTGAATCAAGAGTATTTTTCTTGTGAATGTTTTTAAGAGCCTGGACTCTAGATCCAAGCGACTTTTCTCCCCAGTATACATTTGAAACACACTGGAAAAAAAACACATTGGATCTAGAGTCCAAACTCTAAAAAATATCGACAAAAAAAAAGCACTCTTGATTCAATCAGAATCTAGCTTAAATCAAGAACCAAACCTCTTAATTTTAGCGGATTTCGTTTTGATTCAAGCAAAACTCCGATTGAATCAAGAGTGTTTTTTCTTGTCAATATTTTCAAGAGTCTGGACTCCAGATCCAACGTGTTTTTTTTCCAGTGCATGTCGGACACGTATCTTTGTCAAATCAGCAATCCATGTTTTCTCGTGTATAATTGAATGATAATACACGGTGCATGAGGCGTCTGCATGTGTTTTACTTCAAATGAAAAGCTTTCAGGGTAGAAATTGACTCACCTCGAGACCGTTGTTATGTTTGGGCGGGACCCCGAGCTCGTAAATGTTGAGCATGTGAGCGGCCTGAACGTGCACCATGAGGTCCCACGCGCATTGGAATGAGTCTTTGCACTGCACGCACAGCAAAGATGCCTTCGCTTCTCGTTCGCTCTCCAACTGGGCTGGAAAAACACAGGAAAATGACTTATTCTCAACGTACTCAGTAGCAGCCAGCCCCGTACATTTTAGGGCAAACTAAAATATGCTAGGGCACTGGGGAAAAAAAACACATTGGATCTAGAGTCCAGACCTTTAGAAACATCGACAAGAAAAAATACTCTTGATTCAATCAGATTTAACCTTAAATCAAGAACCAAGCCTCTTAATTTGAGCGGATTTCCTTTTGATTTAAGCTTAAATCTGATTGAATCAAGAATCCTTTTTCTTGTCAATGTTCTCAAGAGTCTGGACTCTAGATCCAATGTGTTTTTTTTTTTTTCAAGTGCACTTACGATGAAAAAAATGTTGCACTCGTAGTCTCTCACTTAATCATAGATAGTCGTAGAGATGGTCACACTTACTCCCTTGGCTGTACGAGAGGAGCCTCAGAGCGAGGAGAGAAGGTTTGGCGATTTCTGGGGTAATTTCGCTAGCGTTGCAGTTGGGGGAACAAGCTGTGCCGCTCGAATTATAGTTACAAAGTGATAGACAAAAAGGACATAGTGAGTATGGAGCGATATTATTGGTTACAATGTGTGGCTCCAATAGACTAAGGGAGAAGATGATGGACTAACTGTCGGGTTTTTCGTGGGTTGCCGTTAATTAGTCTATTACCTACTGCCTTTGTCCATCGCAACCATCCGCTTCCACCATATCCCTCCATATCCTTTTTGTCTTCTTTGACTATAGCTCTGTCTATCAATTTCAATAATCGGCCCGCAGGGTGGCAATATATGGATATCTAAGGTGTAAACTTGCATATGTCTTATAGATGTACTCTTCAAGAAAAGGGAAAGGGAGTGTGCACATTCTGGCGGAAAGGGCTTTTTTGAAACTTTAAAAATTTTAAACGTTGAGTTTATGGCTTTTAAAATTGCCTCTGCTCTGAATAAACAATAATGGATCCTCACGTAAAAATCATCACCAATAACCACCGCTATTTTGATTTCTTTCTATGCATGTGGTGACTCGATGTTGGTAAAACGTAAATAAATTGACCGGGCAGTTTACTATCATAGGGAAAACTATTTCAAATCATATCTGTTTAAACATCTGGTATATCCTCATTTGTCAGGGCCCTGGAAATTCTAGGGCAAACCAGAATATGCTAGAGTACATTTTTCGTTTTGAAACTCTCCTAAAACTTTACACATGGCGGAATAAAGAATCAACATCTCTTTAGTAATGTTTGCATATCACTTGAAGTTGCTCTCCTTGGGGATTTTATAGATTTACATCACGGGCTAGAGTGGCAATAGATGGATATCTTAGGTGTGAACTTCCATACGTCTGATAGATGTATCGTACAAGAAAAGGGAAAGGGAGTGCACATTCTGGCGGAAAAGGCTCTTTTAAAACTTTAAAAATTTAAAACCGTCAAGTCTATGGCTTTTTAAATTGTTAATAATAATACTTTCAAAATTTAAATAATACTTTCAAAATTTAATTTTGAAACAGGGTAATTAATTTATCAGGGTATTACAAAAATTACCCGCTACGAAGAACCAAAGGGTTCGGCTCCGGTGAAATTGCACAAGACGCGTTTTCTCGTGTTGGGCACATCTTTCTTGTGAGAGCCCTGTCAACACTAGTAAAAGTTCACGGGACTTTTCGCGAAAGTTAAGCTCCGTAAACCTATGTCCGTGTGGACGAGGCCTACTATTGATAATAAATAAACGAAAAAACTATGATAGAACGAACACAAATGTGATCCGATCATTTTGACTTGCGACCGCAGTGCGTTTGGCGCAATGTGTGAAGTATCCATTCAGTCTTTTAGGCGCTAATATGCGGTCCACGCTCCACACCGACCGTCGCGCGCCGCGCCGGACGCGTCGTGTTTGAAGCAATGCGTGAAGTATTCAAGTAACCTTGTAGGCGCTAAATATGCGTTTCATACCGACCGCCGCTCCGAGGGCTGCTCTTCTCATCTTAAGTCCTCGTCAGTATTGCTCTCTACGCCGCGCCGCTCGAGACCAGATTGCGTATTTGGCGTATCTCTGAAGTAAAATATTTAAAAGTACTGTCTCTTGTATCACCGTAAGACGACAGAATTAAGGACTGCTGTATTTGTACTCTCAGGAAATGAGAGATCAAATTGCCTTTTTTAGTTTTTGTTTTTTTTCCGAATCCGATTTTTTCTTTCTCTGATACCTATATTTAAAAAAATCTCAAAATTTGCCACCATGGGCCGTAGCCCATGCGGCCACCTCCTAAATACGGCCCTGTTGTTGCATCCCCGTTTTTCACATCATTGGCCTAGAAAAAGTTTTATTTTGGAAGCTTATTTTGCCAACGAGGTTGTAAAGAGCATCGCCGCACAGTGGATAGAGTCAATTGGAGACGTCGGACAAGATTTAAAAACTTTTAAAGCGTATATCCTCATTAATATAGAATTTGGATTTTTAAAAGTAGTTTCATTGGTTTTCTCGTGAAATTTTTCTATGTAAAACATCCCTTAAAATATTGATGAGATAAACGTAAAATTTTATAATTTTTGTCAAAAATTTCATGCCGACTTCTTCCAGTAACTCGATCCACTGTGCGCCGCCCGTCGCGTTTCTCAGTTCTCCGTTGAAGACTGAAAATGACTGAAACCAACACGATTTTTAGGGTTTGTTCACCAATAGACCTCGCGTCTGGAGGTCATTCTTAATTTTTGATTACGCCTCTACAGGAACCTACCATTTGTCGGTGATGAATTCTCGGTCGTCCTACATTTACACGTAAAACGCAGTTTACAGTGGGTCTTTCGGTGCTCCAAAAGATCCTGGAGTTCCGTGAACATGTCTCTGCAGTTCCCGCAGATCAGGATGTCAGGATTGCCTGCAACATACCAGAAACTAATTTACACCGGAAAAAAAATTCGCCTTCATTGAACACCAAAATTCGACCGTTCCAGAAACCAAATTTGGGTTCAGCTAACTGAAATTCAATTCCTTTGGACCGGAAATTTCAGTTACCCGATTCGAAAAACTTTGGCATATTATATGAACGAAAGTTAGGTCTCTCGAATTGAAACTTTTTTTTCAGTTTATACAAAAAATCGCAATCTTTGCAGTTCAATTGTGTATTCAATGAATCTCCATTCCGCGTAACTCCCTTTTTAATGCTACAAGAGATGTATTTTTTTACCTCACTGCCTGTCAATAATGAGAAACAACTTAATTTGGGGAAAAGGCAGCAAATAAAGAACAAAGGATAAACAAAACCCGGAACGTTTCAAAATAGTTACTATTTCATTTTCAACCGGAAAATATTGAATGAAAGTATGAATTTATTTTCCGGTTGAAAATGTAATTGTAGCGTACTACATCACTTCCATCATTTTCTCGCCATTACGTTGAGTTTGGAATCCCTTCGAGTCTTTAATATTCTCAAAAGCTGGTTTGTCCGGAATTTTGGCTCCAAAACTACTCAATAAACCATTACGTAACACAGGAGACATTTCAACACGAAAGTTTGGTTAGTATAAGCAGTAAAACAAAAAATAACCCTAGCCTTGGGTTGACAATTTCAAGAGAAACTGCCAGGTACTTTTCTTGAAGAAATTTAATGAAAAACGAGTGGTACTAAACGAGTGGTCCGCTCCAAAGTATCCGCAAACTGTGCCAAAATCAACACAAAGTTTGCGTCGGTTTGTGTTTCACATCGTTTATCAACCAAAAGTACCACAAGAAAAATATTAACAAAAATACTACACAGAAAAAATTAAATTGCTGATTCAACAATTCAATTGCTAAGGGAAGTGACAGCAATGTTTCAATGTACATTTTACAACAAAAAAATACCACTTTAACCACCCCCGTGGTTAAATTAGCTTACAATAGTGGTTGAAGTCGCATTTTTATGTTGTGAAATCTACATTGAAATATTGCAGTCACTTTTCTTATAGCAATTGAATTGTTAAATCAGCAATATTATTTTTCCGTGTGATATTTCCGTGCAAATCCCAATTCTAGAATTTGAAATAAAATACGCAAGGTTTAGTGGCCCATTAGACGGATTCGCTTTGGTTTCTCGGTGAGTACTCACTGTATGTTTTGATGGTGCCGCTGTCGGTGGTTGGGGAGCCGGGGGCCTTCTGCTGGGCGGCGGGGAGGGGGCCGGAGGGGGGTCCTTTGGCGGGTCCCGGGGGGGCTAGCTTTGAGGCCTTCGTCGTAGCCGACAGCATGAGCCGCGGTCGCTTGAGTGGAGGCACCAACCTCGGTTGTGAGAAGAGTGACGCGTAGTAGCTGTAACAGAAAGAAGAGCCACATGTCTTTTCAATTATTTTTGCTTTTACATACCTAAATAGTGCACTTTGGCGCTCCACGACACCCGCACTGAAAAAAAAATCTCTGTGTACTTACTAGGAAAAGGGTAAAATTACCAAGAATTCAGGGTTCTATTTGATCCCAGTTTTTTCTTGGTAAAATTACCATTTATGGAATTGGTAATGAAATCTCGGTAAAATTATTGAACTTTCTCGGTAATTTTACTGGACCTTGGTAAAAACGCCAATATTTTTTATTGACTGTGGTAGAATTACTGAGATAAAATGGCAAAGTTACCGGGAATTGATTACCAATAAAAGTGGTATTCTTACCTAAAAAAAAACAGTAGAAGTGCCGATTTTTAGGTAAGCTTACCAGTCTGCCTTGGTAAAATTACCAATAATTGGTATAAAAAAGTGAGATGGTAAAGGTACCAATGGACCTTTTTCTTCAGTGCGGCTCGCCGAAGGAACGAAAAGTTAAACTGAACATCTGTTTTATGTTATGTTGTTCTTTTATACATTTCTTATGGAAACACATTGAGAGACGATGGTGTCCAAGGATCCTGGAAAACCCCGGAAAATTCTGTACTTTATCCAAATAACGAAAAATCTCACTTGAAAAAAAAAAAAAAAAAAAAAAAAAAAAAAAAAAAAAAAAAAAAAAAAAAAANAAAAAAAAAAAAACACATTGGATCTAGAGTCCAGACTCTTAAAAACATCGACAAGAAAAAATACTCTCGATTCAATAAGATTTAAGCTTATATCAAGAACCAAGCCTCTTAATTTGAGCGGAGTTCCATTTGATTTAAGCTTAAATCTGATTGAATCAAGAGTCCATTATCTTGTCAATGTTATCAAGAGTCTGGACTCAAGATTCAATGTGTTTTTTTGTGTAACTCGAGTGTATATTATGATGATGATGTTGTTGTTGTTGCTATTTTATACATTTCTTATGGAGACACATTGAGAGAGGATGGTTTCCAAGGTTCCTGGAAAACCCCGGAAAATTCTGGACTTTATTCAAAAACCGAAAAATCTCCGGGAAAATCTGAAAATCGGTCTTGTTTTCCTTTTCCCGTATCATTCCCCTCCCAAGACCATTTCTTTTTTCACGAAGGTGATCTTCGTTGTGGGGCCCTGTGCTGGGTCATTACCTACGTGAGGGTAATGGTTCGTCACCAGATCGTTGAAACGCAAATTCCAGGCTTTTAGGCAAGTACTCTGAAAAAACGGGAAGTATCTCCTCATTTCCCTTCTTCTTCATTCTCGAGAGCAATTTTTTTTCCTCAAATGAGGTGATTCACGTGGTGAGACAGTGCTCTAGGTTATCATCCACGTGCGCCTAATGGTTTGTCACGATGTTGTTGAAGCGGGTATTGCACGCTAATAGGAGGCTAACCGGGAAGCAGATTGTCAAAAAACCTACCACGCAGATTTAAGGTAATCGATGGCAAACAAAAGTAAAAGGAAGAAAGAAAGAAAGAGGGTATTCCTCAAAAATCTGTTTAACAATCGGTCTTGACAGTATAGATGAAGACATTGGATCATTCAACTGAAGTGGAATTGACATCCTCCATTAGTTTTCCTGACAGCATAACTTTTAGTAAGCTTGCCTGCATACTGATGAATAATATATATCGTGTATAGGTTTTTATTTAAATTTTAGAAGTTCGAGGTTGTTATACATAATATCTCATGGCAATCTTACGAGAAATATCAACCATTTATCTAAATTTGCGCAATTCGTACTTTTATACTTAATAGGTCGAATTGGATTACATCTTGGAATGAGAAACCACTATTTCTGGCCCATTTTAGAAATAACATACATGCCATTGGTTTCCCTATGCAGATATGTGCTTTTATTGGAGAGGCAAAGATAGTGGTTCCTTTTTGCAAAATGTAATCCAATTAATTTCTAAGTAGTTTCAATCAAATTAATAATATAAATGAAAACCAATGGAGTTTCCGTTGGAGCTATAGATGTGCAGGATGGCTGATGCCTTTTATTTTATTTGAGTACAATATCGCAGTTTAATTACGCAATTTAAGTCTCATAAGTTCCGCGCGTTTGTTGTTCCAGCATCGGAACGCTCAATATGACGGATCGTCACCGATCGTCGATCACCTGTTGGCGCGACAAGTCAATTAAATTTTTCATTACTTTTATTCTATTAATTTTCAAAGCGAATCATCGTGAGGGGACTTGAAGGATCCTAATCCACGTTGACAGCATAAATTTGGCCGGTGCTGCGTTCCGGTTTTCACTCAATTTACCCCAAGCCCCTCATAGCATCGGATCCGCCACGGCGCACAGTGGACCGAATCAGTGGAAGAAGTCGAACTTATAATTTTTCACTAAATCTGCAAATTTTGATGTTTATTTCGTCAAATTTTAAATTATGAGGGTTGAGTCTTAAAGAAAATTTTTCAAGCAAACCAATAGGGACATCTTACTGGAAAAAAAAACACATTGGATCTATAGTCCAGACTCTTAAAAACATCGACAAGAAAAAATACTCTTGATTCAATCGGATTTTTGCTTGTAACAAGAACCAAGCCTCTTAATTTGAGCGGATTTCCTTTTGATTTAAGCAAAAATGATTGAAAGAAGAGTATTTGTTCATGTCAATGTTTTCAAGAGTCTGGACTCTAGATCCAAGGCGCGTATACGTAGTATACCGCCTTTGCGATCGTTTCGACCCCCCCCTCGATACAATAACCGAGTCCCCTAGTTCCTTACCGAAAAGTGACTACCGCGAACTTCTGAGATTTTCCAAAGCGTGTAAAAAGTTTACTAATCCGTCAATAATAATGATTAAAATTTGTTTCTCATTCTGGGGCTCGCTGGTTTATGTGTAATGAATACCAAGAGTCTACGTTTCTTGGTTTTTTTNATCAAAAAACTTAAATTCGATCGAATAGCTTTCTACTTTCACAATACACGGTCTCGTCAAGGTGCGTCTTTGACCTCGCAGTGTTGGATCGTGAATTCTCTTTTTATGCTGTTTGCCTATTTTGAAATCTCTGTAAATGAAAACTAAAGGGGTTGATATGTGCGAGTTAATGACGCGCCTTATCAACACATTGTGTTGGAGTTCACTGCTTGTTTTTCCAGTGCTTCAGGGTTGCCACTGTCAAGGAACATCGGGAAATGTCAGGAAAACCTGGAATTGTGAGGGAAAAGACTAAAATGTCGAACATGATAGGGAAATAAGATTGTTAAGTCACCGTTATTTCCTTTCTAGAATGGCTTTGATGTTTCGAACGACAAATTTTGACCGAAAACTATTTCAATCATATTTTATGAGCATCCCGCATATCCTTTGATTATCAGGGAGTTTTATCAAAATGTAACAAGGAAATCAGACGAATTTCAGGGAATTTCATTACCTTAATTCTGTAGCAACCTTGCACCTTCCAGACCTCAAAATTTCGTGAAAACGGAGTTATGAGCTTTTGAAGTTTTCTAAAATTTTGTCCGATCTCTCCCATTGACTCGATACACTGGGCGGCGGACGAGCTTTGAGGAAAAAACAATTAAAATTTAAATACCTGCTCAGACAGCCGGCGCGAAAAAAAGCTCGCCGCGCGATTTGCATAAACATATTTCCGCGCGGATAAACTGGCCTAATAGTTACGGCTGAGTGGTTTTGAACCGCGATGCCGGACCTGCAACCCTTATTTTAATTTAAGCCTCGTTTAAAAAAGCATGAACAATAAAATTAAAAAATGGTAGTTATAAACAAGATTAAAATAATGAGCAGTTGAAGCTACGGCTCCAGCACGCGGAGCATTCAGCCTTTGAGGCCGGAACAGACGGTATGTCCATATATCCCGTAATTTTTTTTCAAATGTACCAACCAATATTAAAAGTAAATTTTAATCTAAAGAGTATAGGGAACCAAGTTCCATCCCGCATCGGGAATGGAGATGTTGCATGTGTGAGGGATTCGCGATTTGACCGTTGATTCTTATGTAAAATTTCGTGAGAAACACGATGGTGCCACTGGTTTTCCCTGAAATCATCTCCCAAGCTCTAAAAAAGCTCTCAAAGTAAGGCCAAAATGGAGGGTATATCCCACCCTACCCTAAGAGTCCACCTCTACATCAAGACAAACTCTCCATGCAAAGATTGGGAGCAAATACATTAGCAGGGTTGCCGTGTTTTCAGCTTTGGAGTCCCCAAATAAAGTGGCAGCCCTGTCAATGTATTTGCTCCCTATTTTTGCATGGAGAGTTTGTCTTGATGTAGAGGTGGACTCTCAGGGTAGGGTGAGATATCCCTTCCATTTTGGCCTCAACTTGAGAGCTTTTTTTGAGCTTGGGAGTTGATTTCAGAGAAAACCAGTGGTACCATCGTGTTTCTTGCAAACTTTTACATAAGAATCAATGGTCAAATCGCAAATCCCTCACACATGCAGCATCTCCATTCTCACCGAACTCGAGCCAATTCTGAAATTCGTGATGAACAACGGCAGCGTCGCGATATTCATAATTAAAAATGAAACGATCGAACGATGTGATGACCGGGGTGAGAGGGCGGATCTAATTAACTGCTAACGAGAGAATCTGCGTGTCAAGTCGAGGGCGGGGTTAACAATATCTCCCGATCAAACCCCGCCCCTCGCATCCCTTAATCTGTCCCAATCGGAGAATTTCGCCCACGTGCTCAAACACTCATATTTGGACGTGTTTCTGTCAAACGGAACTAAGCGCCAATTTGAGTTCCTTTTGAGGAATTTAGAATCCCGGATAGCGCGTTCTGTCAAACGGAACTAAGCGCCATGGAAAAGCATTGCGAGTATAGGACGAAACGAGCCCGACGCCCGGTTCCGCCGCCAATCCAAGCCCCCCTCTACCTTCCTCCCCCGATGGCGCTTAGTTCCGTTTGACAGAAATATGTCCATTTGACAATCTCGTATATGATGGAATCGGGGGGACAGCGCCTTAATGAATATGCTAGCCCAAAAAAGA